CCCCCTCTCCCCCCCACCCCCCCACCCCCGAGCTGTGAGCCAGGCCTGAGGAGCCCCCACCGCATGGAGGGGTTTGGGCAGTCGGGAAGGGGGGCTGGCCCTGACTGGAGTCCTGGACCAGGACAGGCGTGCCGCAACGCGGACGTGATGCGAAAGAGATTTCAAATTGCCGGACTCGTCTGTTTATAATTCATAGCAAAATGGTTTGTTGCTGTAAAAATGCATTTGCACATTTCACAAACAGGCCCTCAAAGCAATTCTCTTAATGCAGTAGCTACAAATTAATACCTACTTACCTTGGGCAAATTAGCACTAAGTTGAATTTGAGTTGTGTGGTCGTGTGCAGGGTATACAGAGGAAGGGCTCAGCCTGTGTCTCAGAACAGGGTTCTGCTACAGGGATCTGGAAGGAGGGGAAGGTCCCTAAGCCTGTATTTCGCAGGCACCAAGGCCCAGGGAGAGGGGCTGGCACAGCCAAGGGGAAGGGGAGACAGTGTCCACATGTGAGGGGCTGGAGCCCTTGCTCCTGGCTGGGGGAAGGGGGAGGGGAAAGAAAAGGGGGAAGAGAAGGGGGAAGAAGGGGGAGGGGGAGGAGAGGGGAGAGGGGGAGGAGAAGGGGGAGGGGGAAGAAAAGGTGGAGGGGGTGAAGGGGGAGGGGAAGGAGAAGGGGGAGGGGGAGGAGAAGGGGGAGGGGGAGGAGAAGGGGGAGGGTTCACCACTGAGCTGGGATTCCAGGGTCTCTAGAGGGACCCCATAAAAAGTAATTTTTAGGGGCACCTGGATGGCTCAGTTGTTCAAGTGTCGACTCTTGATTTCAGCTGGGGTCATGATCTTAGGGTCCTGAAATGAAGCCCCTCTCTCCTGCCCCTCCGCCACTGTGCACGTACTGGGGCACTCTCTCCCCTCCCAAAAAAGTAATTTTTACACTTTTGTTTCAGCTCTGCTCCAAATTCATTAAATCTGACCCCCCCCCCCCCCCCGCCCCCCGCTACCTCACAGACAGCTCTGAGTCCCTGACGCTGGCAAGGAGACGCACCAGACTGTTTGTCCAGGCAGGAGGACCGGAAGCCCCTAGAACCTGTCCGAGATTCCCTGCTGAGACACCAGCAGCAGGATCCAAACAGGCTGCCTCCAGCTGCATGACCTTGCCCGAGGCCTGGTACTCCCAAAGGGCGAAGGAACCTGTCCCATTGTTGGGGCCCCCCGGACCCTCCTGTGGCTCTTGTAGACACCAATGTCAAGGCTCAGCTGCTCCCAGAGCCAGCTGGGCAGACAGGGCTGCTCCCTCCCCAGCAATCCTGGTGCCCTGCCTGGAGTTCCTAGGTGCTCACTCAGGTGTACACACCACCGCCTGCACAGCCCTCCCTAAGGCTAAGAGTATTCCTATCTCTCTTCTCAAAGGTTTGTTGAGGAAGCCAAGCCTGAGCCAGTCAGCACATGGCAATTTCTGGGGCCACAGGAGTGGGTGCATTCAGGTCCGTGAGGCCCCAGGAAAAGTCTTCCAGATGCTTCTGGTAAAGATCTCAAAAGAGGACCACTGGAGAAGTCTCTCTCCAAATAGCCATGTATGAAGATGAGGCCTGAAATGGCTGCAGCCGACTCGCTCCCCACTGAAGATCCAGAGGTTCATAAAAAAGGCAGGGAACTGCCAAACCCTGATCAAGCCATACCTGATCTCCACACTGTCACCAGACCACTTCAGCTACATAGGCCAATATATCACCCAGTTCAGAAATGGGTTTTCTCTTCATTATAATCAAAAGCCTCCTGATGCCCCGGTTGCCCCACCCACCCAAGCCCCACCTTCCCAAGGCTGGTAGAGGGCCTTCCTCTGAGCTCTGGCAGCCACAAGCTCCATCATAGCCCTCCTCAGACTGCACCATGTGTCTGTGTGTCCTTGACCCATCCCCATAAGTTCACTGACAGCCAGGCCAAGTCCGACTCACCCCAGAGGCCCAACATTTACCATTCCCAGGGCTGGGAGTGTCTGTTGAACAAGAGAACAGACAAAAGGCACACCCACAAACAGCATTCAAGCCCTCCCTAGCGGGGTCTGACCAACAGTTCAAGGTCACTCCCCCTGCTGGCCTCACTCACTCCATTGCCCACCATCCAGGCTGCTCTGTCCCTGGAGAGGACATAGCTGGGGCCACTGCCAGAGTCTCCATCATACAACTCAGACCCATCAGGGCGGAGGAGCCTTGGGACCTCTCCTCTCCTATGGGATGCTCAGCCCCATGCTCTCCACCCTCAGACCCATAGCTCTGGCCCAGACCACTCTCCCCGAGTGCTGGTCTTCCAACTACCCAACCCATAATCTCCTGACATCCTCTGAGCACCAACACCTGCCTGTAGTTCTTGGAATAAAATTCAAACCCCCGCAAACACCTGAAAGACTGGCTCTTCATGCCTGGGCCCCGCCACCACCTCAGGCCCTCGCCACACAACCCCCTTGCCCCACGTCAGGCTCTGTGCTCAGCAGAAATTGAGGTGCTCAGGAAGTTGCCCCACTTCCTGCCCCGTGCAGCCACACGGGCCTCAAGTCCATCTGAGGTTGCCCCTCAAATGCTTCAAGCTGTTCCTGCCCCAGGGCCTTTGCACATGCTGTCTTGGCTACCTGGAACCTACGGCTCCTGCAGGGAGTAAGGGATCCATATATGGTTTCTATTATTACCACTGGCTCAAGTTCAATTCAATGATTCAATCAGGGGGCGGGGGGGGGGGGGGGTGTGGATGGCGGGGTTGGTAGAACATGCAACTCTTGGTCTAGAGGTGGTTAAGTTCAATCCTCATGTTGGGTACAGAGATTTAAAAGTAAAATCTTTAAAGGGGATCCTGGTCACATAACTCAGTTTAAGGGCCCAACTCTTGATTTCAACTCAAGTCATGATCCCAGGGTTGGGAGACTAAGCCCCACGGCAGGCTCTGTGCTCAGCAGGGAGTCAGCCTGAGACTCTCTCCCGGTCTCTGCCCCTCCACCCCACCCTGTGCTCTCTCACTCTCTAAATAAATAAAACTTAAAAAAAATAAAATCCTTAAAAATAATAATAATAATACAATCTGAATTCAAATCTACCTGCTCCATTGCCTCCTGGGAAACTGAAGTGGGACCCACGGAGCCCTGGTAAACCCACCAACTTCTGCCATCAGACGCCTCTTTATAGAAAGATCCGGTGACAGTGAGGCCAGACCAAATACTGACTTCCCCTCAATGTGGCCAGAGGAAAAAAAAAATGCCCCAGGTCCCAGGAGACGGTCAGGCCACTCTACCTGCCAGAGCCAGGGACCTGGCTCTGCTCCCCTCGGTACCCAGTCCCTGAGCCAGCTGCCGTGAGCAGCAGGGACAGGGTGAGATGGGCTCATTCCCGTCCCAGTCATCCGTCGTCACAGGTGGACGATGCCCTGGCCTCTGGGTGACCTCAACATGCATACCTCCGTGCCAACCTCCCATCCATTTTCCAGTTCAATGGCTGCCTCCTCCAGGATGCCCTCCTTGGCCTCCCACTAGCCCCCGGCTTCGCTCTGGGTCCCCTGTGGGCAGGGAGTGTGGAGATGGCTGTCCACAGGAGGAGCTGGGTTCAGGCCAACGTACCCTATGTCCCTGTTCACCCGCCCCCTGCCCACAGTGTTAGGTTAAGGAATGGTTAGTCCCTGTATTAAAGGAGAAACCCACAAACAAGGTCCCCAAATTGCCAACAGAGACCGACCAAAGGATGTTGAGCCTTAATTTAAATTTTGAGTTCTCACCTGGACGCATGTTAACACTGCATTTCACAGACGCCCAGAAGACAAAAACCTCCAAGTCTGTGGCCACCAGATGGCCAAGGCCAGGTCCCCACCCCACAGGAATTCCTCCCCTGTGCTCACTTCCTGAGGATTCCACAGGCCCTTCTCCAGGGGCCTGGGGAGCCCCTCTGCAAACACACACCCTCCAAGCCAGTGCTGAGGTCAGTGACCCCACGCTAGGGCTTGAGAACAGGGAAAGGGGCCAGGGCCTCTCCTCCAACTGATTCTGGAGACTGACAAGCCGCACGATCTAAGTTTCTGGCCCACTAACTCCTGGCCTTCCATTCCGTGTGCTGACCCAGCCAGAGCCCTGGGTCTGAATCAGCCTAGCACCCGCTCAGCCTCAGTTTTCTCATCTATGAAATGGAAAGATGAGTCCTACCTCCCTGGTTTGGGGTGAGAGGGGCTGACAGGCCTGTACAGTGTCCAACCCAGCCAAATGGGAGGCCATGAATTAGGGGAGGAAAATGGGGGGGGAGGGAAAGTTTGGACTGAGACAGCCCAGCCATACCGAAACAGGACAATGGAGGAGAGAAGTGGAGGGGAAGGGGTCGGGGTGAGAAAGGGGAGGAGTGGAGGGAGGGATGCAGGGGAAGGGGGAGGAGAGGAGGGGAGAAGGGGGAGGAGGGGAAGGCCCCCAGAGAAGGCTGGGGAGAAGGGAAGGGAGGAGCTGAGTGGAGGGAGAGAGGAGGGGAGCAGGAAGGGAGAGGTGTAGGGCAAAAAGAGAGGGCCTGCAAGCAGCAAGAAAGAGGAGAGGCGAGGAGGGCAGGAAAGAAGGCCTGGAACAGGGAAAGGGGGTGCGGCGGGGGGGGGGGGGGGGGGGGGGGGGGGAGGCGGGGAGAAGGCCCGGAGCATGGAGCTGGTGAAGGAGGGGGAGAAAAGGAGGGCTCAGGCCCAGAGCAGGGAGGGGAGGGGTGAGGGAGAGGAGAGGAAGGGCGCAGGGTGGGGAGGAGGTGCAAGGGAGGAGGGGCAGGGAGCAAGGAGGGGAGTGGGTGCAAGGAGGGAGGGCAAGGGACACGGCTCGGCTCGGCGCGGCCGCTGGGTTCGCCCGCGTCCTTATGCCGCGTCACGTGTCGCCGCGCCCACCTGAGCGGTGACGCAGTGCGCCCGCCGGCTCACACCCGCGGAACCGCGTGGCGTCCCCACGCGAGGCACAGGCGGGCTCCCGCCCGCGGACGCCAGGCCTTACCTGCCACGGCCCCGCGGGCTCCTCACCTGGGCTCGGCGGCGCCGCGACTCACCTGGCCCCGCCCCGGAAGTGGCCCCCAACCGGGCCCGCCCCCGCCCCGCCCCCGCCCCGCCCCTGCCCGCGCGGCGCGGCTCCTCGGGAGCGGTGGCTCCCCGGGGTCGCGCGGGGCTGGGCGGGGCCGGGAGCGCGTGGCGCAGGTGAGCCCGCGTGCTGGGCGGGGCTCGAGCTCCGAACCCCTCTCCCTTAGCTCCGGAGGCGCCCCCGAGGCTAGCCTCGTTCAAGGCCCCGCTTGGCACAGCCCCCACCCCTGGGGCTGACGCTTTCCTCGAGGATCCACTTCCCTATTTTAGGGACAGGCAAAGTGAGGTGCGGAGCAGGGAGATTCGAGGAACCGAGAAGACACATTCAATAAAAATCTCCCAAAGAGTCCTCTGGGCCAAGAGCCGCCTTCCCGGGACTGCGATGGGGCCCGCTGTTGAGCTCAGAATTCCCCAGAGAGAGCGGCGGGGCAATCCCGGAGGCGGCCCTGACCCATTCTGAGGAGCACGGAAGACTTCCTGGAAGAGGTGACCAAGACTTGGGTCTCTAAAGGGTCCCTGGGGGCCAAGTGGTGCATTTCTGTCTCTGGGAGCTGTTACTGTTCTGACCCGCAGTATGCCCCAGGGCCGAGTTTGAACCCCCTTTTCGCCTACACTCCCTCTGATCTCATCCAGCGCCCTGCTTTTGATATGGTCTATACCCCCAATGATCCCTAACTTCTATCTCCAGACCCGAGTCCTGCCTCTAAACCGCCCACCTGACATCTCCATGGGGGGAGGGGCGTGGCCTGAGCGGAGAGCGCCAGCTCTTCCCGGGGCTTCTTGTCTCATTCTCCGGGGCCGTTGTCCAAACGCTTAGGGGTCATCCTTGGCTCCTCTCCAGCTCTCACGTCCCATACGTGGTCCCTCAGCAAGCCCAGATGCATTTTACTTCTAAATCGGTGCCCCCACTTTTCCCCCCTACACTGGCCCAAAGGGATCAAGCCCCACCAGCTCCTCTCAGGTGGCTCCTGCGACAGACTCCTCCCACGGGGCCCTCCCTGCTCTGCCCGGCCTCTTTGGCCTCGACACAGCAGCCAGAGGATCCTTCCCTTGCCCCAGCTCCAGTGCTCCCCTTCCTCCTCTCCCCACTTCCCTTCTGGGGGAGGAAAGGCGGGGAGGGACAAGCAGCTCCACAATCCCAGGCTGCTTTGCATGGAAGGTTGCACAGCTGCTGGTGTCGCAGGTGCGATGGGCTCTGTAAGTGCCCAGGAGCCTCCAACAGCAGCCAAGATAACCAATCAGGCATACTGACCTCTCTCCACCTCCAGCAGGATATGTGAGTGCAGATGTCAGTCGGCACAATATTACTCCTCTTAACCAGTGATGCTTATGAGGTTCTCGAAGTAACTGGGCCTAAGCTCAGTCAACACAGGCCTTCTTCATGCTATGGCGAGCAGTTCAGGCCAGTCCAGCTGGAATAGTTGGTGGAAAAGAGGTCCTGCTTTTTCCTTTTCTCTCCCCCAACCTAGATGAGGCGCATCAGTGCACTAGAGACACTGGGCCATCCTGTGACCACAGAGATATAGGCAAAGAGATCTGAACAGAGACGGCAAGGAACTGAGTCCTTGCTGACAGCGACGAGCCCCTTGATCAAACCTGTCCTGAAGCCTGTCAGACCTCTGGACATTCTGGTTTGATGCTCCAATAAATTCTCTCATTGTTGAAGCTAGTTTAGAGTTTTCTGATTCTTACAACCCAAAGCATCCTCTGATAACATTTATTTAACTAAATTGCAGAATTTCTCTCCTGACAATTCTAGCAGGAAAAAAAAAAAAAGAAAGAAAGAAAAAAAGAAAAAAAGAAAGAAAAACAAACCCAGGGAAGGCCTCCGATTGGCTGAGTCTAAGACACATAACCATTCCAGGAATGGGAAAGGAGTTAGACCAAGACCTTAACCTCCCCAAAGTCAAGACAGTCAGCTTCATGCCAGTTTTGCTAATGATAACCATGAAGGAAATGAATATGGATTATGTAGACAGAACCAGTGCCCAGCTCTAAACGCTGGTTGTTCCCATTCCATGGCAGGCTGTTTGCTCACTGCCTGCCCCAATCAATGTGGATGAAAGAATGATTCCAGTTTCCTTCTAGTGTTGAAAGAGGATTCCCACGGCCTCCATGCTGACCTCTGTCTGGACCTTCTGACTAAGTTCTTTCCAGCGCATCTCTTAACTTCCACAAAAGACCCTGCAGGCAAAGCATTCCCCGATGGGAACCAAAACTACCCCCTCAAGCAACAGGGCCCACCCTGAGCCAGCAAGTCTCCCGGGTAACTGAGCCCGTGACAATGACTGGCCTGACCTGTATGGCCCACTTGCACCTTCCCACCGATCTTTGTCCCACCTTTTCCCTCCGTAAACCTGGACATCTTTCCAGCTCTTTGGGGGCAGTGTTTGAGATATCAGGGCGCTGTCTTCCTGGCGTCAGCCTCGCTGACATAAACTCCTTTCCTGTGTCACTGCCGATCTTCTCCAGGCCTCAGGCTCTTGTCGGCAGTGAATGACAGCACCCTGTCTTTTTGTGTCGCCGGACTCAGTTGCTCTTGCTTCCCAGTATGCCCAAGGAGCATCCCATTACCCAAGTAGCTGCCTTTTCGTGTGCAAAGAATTTGTAACCTCCTCACCAGCCAGCCTGTTCAACTAACATAATACACCTGCAAATTATTATTACATCCCCTCCTTGTTCCCAGAGGGCTCCAGGTAGCGAGGAAGGCACTTCGGGGCTAAGTTCTCACACAAGTGTGTGTCTGAGCCTCTGGACGGAGCAGGAATGCGCCCATTTCAACACCAAGGACTTGCTCTCAAAACATGACAATGACATCAATTTATTTATTTTTTAAAAGATTTTATTTATTTATTCGACAGAGAGAGACACAGCGAGAGAGGGAACACAAGCAGGGAGAGTGGGAGAGGGAGAAGCAGGCTTCCTAATGTGGGGCTCGATCCCAGGACCCCAGGATCATGACCTGAGCCGAAGGCAGACGCCAAACGACTGAGCCACCCAGGCGCCTCAAGGATTTGATTCATATTAGCGACTCACACACGGGATCGGGTTGATCTAGTGCTTGGTGCCACATTTCTCTTTTCCTTTTTGGGAGGCAAATGTCTTTTTTAGTATGAATGCAAGATCGGTCCCCCATGAAAGAGGAACAATTTGTAGGTTTTCTGTTTTAAAAAGCAACTTTGGGCAGAAGTCAGAGAAAACATCCTCCAGTTGATGTGCGGCTGGCCCCATAATTTCATGGTATCAAGACGTGGAAGGGGAATGCCACCCTCCTCGCAGTTGTGTTTGTATAAACCTCATACAAATTCCACAACTATAGCTTAGTGATAATAAAATATGTACAATAAAGCAATAATACAGAATGATTAGAGGGAAACAATGCAGGTGTGTTCCGCCATTCATGGTAAAAGGAAAGAGAAACAGAAAGGAACAGTAAAACCCGGGCTGGTCCCGTTTGGTTCTTTTTTCTGTTTTTCCCCAAGTGCATCTAATCAGCAAGGCAGCAGTTACTCATTTCCTTTTGTTGCTATAACAATAACTCCGTGCATTTCAAATGCTTTGCAATAGAAGACAAAGAATAATAATGCGAAACGAAGGAATTACATCTGAATGGCATTATTCCCGGCTTTATTAAATTTGCTCTTACAAATGTTTATGAAGTCGGAGATTTGGCTCTCCCCCAAGCAGCAAATTCCACATTAATAAGCACTGGGGGTTGGAGAGCTTGAAGGAAGAAGGAAATAAAGATCCTTTGGTCCAATGTCTTAGGCTTCACATTTGTTTTCTTGCAAATTAACTCTCCCTGCCAGCTGCTGGAGCCAAGACTTGCTCCGCTTTGAACCTTATTAAAACCTGGAAACCAGAATTTCCCTGCTGAATGTGGGCGCGGCGGCTGGACGCAGCCTAAAGGGATCTAGATCCTCTAGATAGCCGTCCCACTCCTCTCATTCAAGGCCGGGCCCCTGAGACCCATCGAGGCCAGGAGGCTTCTTCCCTGCAGCTGTCAGGACCCTCCATCCACCCTCCTAGCCTGCGCCCGCACGCGTTTCAGATCAAATGTGTCTGGTTGTTAGTCCTCACTGCGAACTGCGACGACCCTTGTGGACCCTCCATGAGGTTCACCATGTTTTCTGGGATCCTTTGGTCCTAACTGTTGAAATCCTTTTGATTTGCAACCGAGCAGGCCATGCTCGTGATGCCCTATTTGACATCAGAGTGGGACACTGGTTGTGCCTTCTGGCCCCCGTGCACCTTTCACCTTTCACCCCTGCTACACTGGGATTCTCACTCTTCCTAATCTTTCTGCACAAGGTGGCCAGACAACGGGTTTACCTGGCCTCCTTTGCAACCAAGGCCCAGACGACAACTTAGGCTCCACCATTGTGATGTACGTGCTTAGGGAGGAACCAGTCTGGGAATATATTACAGTGGAAAGGGCAGCAGGGCGATGTGCAGTGTGGGGGGTGGGGGAGGCTGCAGTGGCTACACGTACTTGGAACATGATTGCTATCAGTCCTGGTGGCAGCTGTGGGTTCAGTCCAGGGCAACTGGAACATCTCTGTGCAGTGGGGGCATCCCTGTGCAGTGGGGCCATCTCTGTGCAGTGGGGACATCCCTGTGCAGTGGGGGCATCTCTGTGCAGTGGGGGCATCTCTGTGCAGTGAGGGCATCCTTGTGAAGTGGGGGCATCTCTGTGGAGCATCCCTGTGCAGTGGGGGCATCCCTGTGCAGTGAGGGCATCCCTGTGCAGTGGGAGCATCTCTGTGCAGTGGGGGTATCCCTGTGCAGTGAGCGCATCCCTGTGCAGTGGGGACATCCCTGTGCAGTGGGGGCATCCCTGTGCAGTGGGGGCATCTCTGTGCAGTGGGGGTGTCCCTGAGCAGGGACTGCAGTAGCGGCTGTTTTCCCACCAGGTCTGTCCTTTGGGGTGAGTTGAGGCACTGTTCCTGGAAGGGA